AATTTATTTACACATGCGAATAAAGAGAATACTGTGCAAATATTTGTATTAAATGTGTGTCGCGCAAGCACATATTTAGAATTTTTTTAACGCGACATTTTTCGATGAAAATATTGTCAATGAAAATAAAATGTTGTCATATTATTTTCTTTTTCATTCAGATTTTTTTAAGACCTTGAAATTGATGCAGATATTATTGAACATATTTCATTACATTTATTGTCTCTCTACCCATCACAATTTTTCCTAAAGTCAATTTAAACTTATATAAATAAAAAATAATATTTTGTTATGAACTAATACATCGCAAAATTTATGTAAAACATTCTATAATTTCAATGTCATTTTTCCATTGCAACAACTATTAAAAAATTGAATCTTTGTTAGAGAAAAAATTAAGTTTATAGATAAAAAAAAAAGAACTATGAGAAAATCTGTGTGAGATGGATATATTGTAACTACACAGTTGGAAAATTTATGTTTTCTTGTTAAACAATATGCCGTTTAAAATTTTTGTATTAAATTTTGTATTAATTAAATTCAAACGTTAAATTATTAAAATAACTGAAAAAGAAGTATAAAAATAACACAATGTGCACATATTTTTAAATTTGCACAATAGATATGTTCCGTATTATTAGTGACAGGATTTATTTGTTAAAATTTACAGAGAAAAAAAGTTGATTTTATTGAAAAATAGAAGTGAGATCTATAAAATGTAAAAATGTCTATTTTTCTAAGTTAATATTATCATTAAAAATATGTTGATTTTACAAAAAATTTATTTCAAATTTCTTTGAAGTTTGCATTCATTTTTTTTTTTGCGTTGAAATATTAACATAGGATTATTGTCACCATTTAACATATCCATATTATGTTAAATTAATACAAAAATTTGTGTGGACCGTTTAAGACATACAATATATGTTAAATTTAACACAAATTTTTTCCAACTGTGTATTTTCACGGTGTATTCTTGTTACACAAAGCCTTTATCAGGCTTGCCAGTGTTAAGATTGCAAGTCGCATTTATGCTCTCTAAAAATCATCTCAATTAGCGCAATCGCAGATAATCACAACGTCGGGAGACTTGAAATCGGCATCGCCGCGAAATAGGCGTAGACTGGCTACGATGTTAATCGCATTAGCGTAACATTGCACGATAAATCAGATAATTAGCGGCCGTTAAGCGCATCGTAAATCGGCATTATCAGAATCGGGTGTCAGCATTTTGACACGGCGCCACGCTTGTTTGGCGACGCGTTGCGGCGAAGCAGCCTGTGTACTTAACAAATCTTGTGAACACCAAAATTGTTGATCATTTATCAACTATTATCCTGCCGGCAACGATTGTTATAGTTTGTCTGAATGCAATGTTTCTATGACGCCATGAAAAAATGTTTGACAAGCCGATTTTTTCAATTCAAATGTTCATTTTTAACAGAACACGTAAAAATCTCGTAAAATGCAACAAATTTTATTATGATAACAAATTTTATGATGTAATAACAATTTATTAAAGGATATAAGAGGAGATATTCTACAAATGCACTTGTTGCATAATACGGACATATTCGGATGTTTATTGACATTATCGTCTCTTTACTAAACTGACAAGCCACTACAGCTATGTCAGTGAACACGCAAATGTTAATAAATCCAACTGTATATATTGTGCAAATATGCTATTTCTAATAATCATCATAAAGATAAACCAAGAGAGACATGATCAATTGAATTTTTTAGCTTTATACACGATTGATGAATAAGGGCTTTAAAAGCGCGCGCGCGCAATGTTTTCAGAGTTTGAAACGTTCCCACGCATAATCTATGCATTTAACAAGTCACTCTCCCTTGCTTCGCGTCCGAAAAAGCAATCGCCTTCAAGCACGGCGAAGTTAATCGCGACACGGCACTAGTCGATGTAAACTATCCTTCGATGATACTTCTCTAAGTCCTGCGGATATTACGAACCAATTCCCCGAGGCGACCGGCTCTTGTCCCCCATCATTCCCACAATTTCCCATACGCTTTACGCCGGCATGTCTTTTACGGGGTCTTCGTTAGGGTCGGAACACTTCCATGATCGATAAAATTATATCTCGAGCTTGCGGTTTTTGCCCGAGAATCAATTACGCGTTTAACCATTCGATACATTACGAATTGGCAGCATTTTCTTTTACAGTAGATCAGAATAAAGATTTTGTTGAAAAAATTTGAGCGTTCACAAAGCAAAAATTTAAAAATAATTTACCGAGAATCAAGGCCTAAAAATTCGTGACTTTACATTTCAACGTTTACTTCCTTCTTACGTTTCAAGTAAAAAATGATGTTACAGAATTTTATTTTACATTCATCAAATAAGTAAAAAATTTATATATATTCTTTCTATATCATTTCTTTAAATCTTGATTTTGTGTTTAAAGATTTGTCATTGTAATATATTTAATAAGTAATACATTACATATAAGTCCTTTATATAAATTAAATGTAAATAATTATTTCAAAAAAAAAAATATATTCGCTCAACAGACGCTGCGAAAATTGCAGGAGTTGCAATGGGAAATTCTGCAGCACCTGCCATATTCTCCAGATATTGCGCCTTCAGATTTTTATCTGTTCCGGTCTTTGCAGAATAGTTTAAATGGCAAGAATCTCAATTCCGAGGAAGCTGTTGAAAACCACCTTACAAACTTTTTTCAAGAAAAACCAAGTTCTTTCTTCAAAAATGGAATCGACAAGCTTATAGATCGTTGGAAAACCATTGTAGAAAAGAATGGAGACTATATAATTGATTAATAAAAGTGTTATCTCTAAAATATAATCTATTGAAGTTTATATTTAAATCGGGCACGAACTTATGCAATCACCTGATAACTAATTAATCATTCATATAGAAAATTTTTATCGCACGTTTTACGACAAAATATCCTTTCAATTTCATATAACTTTTCATTGTTTAAGATGGAATAAAGAGTTAAGTTATTAGTAAACGTGATTATAAAAGAAAAATTATAATAAAGCTAACGCTAAAGTAAGTAGAATTACTTATGATTAACGCGTTTTTAAAATTAGTTAAAATATGCTACGTAATACTCAAATAATTATTATCCATCTTATATTGTATTTACGTTTGAGCATGAGCATATTAAAGAAATCTCTGATAATATATAGTACTTCTTCACATGCACTAATTGATATAATATTTAATTTTGGAAAGAGATAGAAAGAGAAAAACACGAGATATTAAATATTAAGAGAAAATAAAAACACACTTAAATATTAAAAGTTTAGTCCTCCTATAAAAAAAATCATCATAAAATATCTTCTATAAATATTTTATTCTTAAATATTAAAACTTTATTCATATTATATTTTATTTCAAGTAACTATAATACTGCCTATATATCGAGTGCTTAGTAAAAAATGTGGATATCTTTGCTAAAGACGCCATGAAAACAGCCGCCAAATACCATATGACACAAAATTATAATTCGTTACCTCAATAAAATATTTAATGCTCTAAATAAGTGTATGCGAAACATTCTGTGTTCTTATAAGGAAAACTAGTTTTACGATAGAAATTATTATGAAACTACCATCGAAGACTCTGTCAAGATAGAAGAACTTTATTAATGAACAACATATGATACACTTGCTCATCGTACGAACGTTGATCGAATAATAATAATCTTATCGTCTCTCTGCGCGTCGGTCCTTGTGCCTTTCCCCTTCCCTTAATGTCTTTTCTCATTATAATGGGGCGAGCTCCACTACATTGCTTCGACATACCAAGTATGTATGTAAACAAGGACGTGCGCACGTCGCTGTTCCTTAATATTTTATATTTATATTTTATATTTTATAGTAGTTATTATTAAACTGATAATGTGTCACGAATTTTCGCCCGATTTTACAAATTGCAGTTTCTCAATCCGAAAAGGATGATCTATCTCTCTATCTTATTGAATTTAAATACAAGATACGTGATACGATATATATTCTTTAGTTGCAATTTTTTTACATGTAATATATGATTACATAAGACACAATATATGTAAAATTTATTAATATTACTGGTAATATAAATTTATAACAAATACAACTGGAGCCGATTGAAATCCTTATCGCCACCCATCCTTTAAGATATCGCATTATACAGACAAACTGTGACTTCATCGGTTCCCGTTTAAATTTCACAACAATGCTGACTGCATAGCGATCTGTACCAAAGAATCCTAGTCAACCATTCCCGTGATGGCGAGGGTTATTGCTGTCACGTCTCGGTTACCGGGGATTTATTTTCAATTAGATTATCGTACGCGCGCGTACGGGATACAGAGAAATCACGGCGAGCGCCTCGTCGCCTCATCGACAATGCCACCCTCTCGTATACGTTGCTGCCCTTCTTCCTCGGCAATCGAGTCGCGACAATGCGAACAATGGCCGAGGCGGGCCGGTGTGAGCCGTGCGCCGCTTAATATCGTCGCCGATAAAGGAGCCGGCGATGTTTTACAAACAGCTATGCGCCACGCGACGCACCCACCCCCTGTCAAAACATTCCGAGCGACCGCCGCCGTGCCGGTGTGCCACGATGATGGGGTAAGACACGTGCCGCCCTTCGTTTTTCTCGGGACGGCACTGGGAAATTACCAAGTGCAGCGGATGCAGTTTTTGGGAACGAAGGATCGAATTAATGACGAGTCGTTTTATCTCCCGGGAAACGTTAGAAAAAATAGCGAACTTTATCATCGAATTTTATGTTGGAAATAAATGAAGAGATGGACAAAGAGATATCTAGACAAATTATAAAGCCGTGTTTGCGCGCCCGCGCTAAAGTATAATTATAAATAATATTATATTATATATAAATGTTGCGTTTTTTAAAATAAAATTTCTAGACAATATTTTGTATGCATTATATTATGCAATGATATAAAATGCATCACAAATGCAAAGAAATAATAAATAATGAATTAAATAAATTATAAATTATTCACCCTGCGGTTGCTCCGTTGTTGCCCGATCCCTCTCTGAGTTTCCTCCTTCTCTCTTGTTCAACTTTGGTTGTTCCAATATCGCACTTATACGTATCACTCGCAAAAACACGGTTAATTATGATCGAATGCGTACTAATCAGTAGAATTAACGATTCCGCGACAATTATCACGACACTCCCGATATTATTCACGCACGTATACATACTTTATTGTTTTATTATATTACTTTGTTAGTTTATTAATTATATTATTGCGATATAGGAGAAGTCACGTCAATCATTCCTTGACATTCATGATTTGCTAATAAATGATATACAATCTTATTTTAGGACGATTACTAATTACTATCTTGTGTATTATAAGTGTGAATAAATATATGATTTATAAATCAATATTCATAAACTGTTTAATATTCGGAAGCGTAATTAGGTTTGCCGACTATTCGCATGACCGATTTCCATCCGAATAAACGTCGCGAAATATATACGCATTTTAAAAATGATATACAAATATTGAACTTAAGGTACGCGATTGATAAACATTAAAATATCGAGTAATGTCGCATATAAATGATAACGGTAACTTTACTTCGATATCGCGGGATATTACGCAAATCGAATTAATGACTAGTTAAGACGATCGACGTATTGTGCGAAAAAATATAATCAAAAATGAGTATCGTGTGATATATTTTAGACGTATTAATTTCGCGAAATATCTGCCACAATATGCCTACGAATTATCCATCGCTAATTGTAATAATCATAGATTGAAATGATTTCATTTTCCTTAAGAAATAAAACGACGTTGTACGGACCGGCTCACGATACGTCTTTCCCATTCGACTCTCACCGCGCGAATGACAACAAGGCAACAAGGTAACCGCGTATAAACAATAGCGTGGTATGTAAACATCGCAAAAACAAGCGTCGTGCGAATACCGTGTAATCTTTCATTCGTCGATATCATGGAATATTTAGCATATTACAAACTATATATATAAATAAATAGGAAATATTCTCTCTCTGAATATTCTTGAACTTTAATTATATTATCAATAAACGAATATCGTATCACGCAATTTTCTCTTATTCATTTTCCTCGTCTGTTCGTATATTATTGAGCATTTAATTGGAAAACGGTTTATAAATTATATATAAATCGCGGCGAAAATTTCAAAGCGATGTCGATGTAAGATACATTCGAATTGAAATTTTATTAAAGAAATATTTATAACTTTATTATTAAAAATTTGTAGTGCTCGTTTATTAAGACGATAGAAGATAGGAAATATAAATTATTATATACTTTATTGCGATATTTACAGGTGTGATAATTATTTGTTTCACGATATTTATAGATTTGAATATATAATTTAGGAGGTGTATTTTTTAATGGATAGTATTAAAATTAAAAAAAAAATATTTTTGTGTTTTTAAGACTTTATATCTTCTATATTTACTAAGATATGAAAGAAAATTGATATATATTTAGACTTTTCCAAAATTATAAAATCAAATATTTTTTTATATACTTCTTACTTAAATTCATATAAGAAAAAAATTAAATTATTTTTTTCATAAAACGTAACAATAAGTAAATTAATTTATTAAATTTTTAAGCAATCAGTTTTGGCAATATACAGCTTAAAAAGTTATTCTCAGAAACAAAATTATTTCTTTTTCGATTGTATTATGTATTCCAATCTAATTTGCATAGTAGCCTAAAATCAAACATCGTTAAAATAAATTATATTTTATGTTATCCTGGCTGACATCGTACATAATGAGAGTATAATAGAACGAGAATATTGCTCGAGAACAAGTCGCAAATTTTAGAATTGATCCAGGATGATAACGATGCGAGCGTATAATTTGCGCGAGATTTACGATTCGCGCGGGCCAAAGCAGTCCGCGACGTACGTAGTTCGTGGAGTATCGCGAATAGTCACGCAACGAGGGGTGGTAGACGGTATCCCTGACGAGGGGCGGAAACGCGGAAACGTGACGGCTACGTGTCCCTATTGTTTGCGGGACGAAAGTAGGGACCCGCGGACGCGCGAGCGCTTATTTACACGGGACAAATAGACAAACAAGGAATTGGCGCGCGGCTCACCGCGAGCGCCGTGAATCATGCCCGTTCGAAGGAGTCTTGCGACGATAATTAGCGTTGATAGGAAACGAGAATGAAAAATACACTCACCATTCATCGGCACCAAACTCCGATCATTGACGTAACTAAAAGGAACGGGACAAATTTATCGATACAAATTCATCAACATTATATATAATATATTCAATGACTTCTTTTAAGATTAATAATTCCTGTCCGTGTGTAATAAATTCAGGAGGTTAAAAGCTCAAATTTTAACATACTTGATGCATCACACTTGATCGGAAGCAAAAGTAACAGACTGACATTTATAAATTATAATTTTTTGTTATAATATTTCTTAGTTAATAATTATAATAATTGTTACGTAACATATGATGCGATAAAGTTGCGCATTTGAAATTTACACACTTAATAATTTTAGAATAATATTTCCTTATATTTTCTTTCACCATCGCGTCATCGCGTCATTCATTGTTATCAAAGAAAATATAATAGATTATACATATATAGTAAATAAATATCGTGAAAAGCTTAATTAGATTTATTAATGAAAAGCTCGTTATCCATTTGTGAACAATTAAAAAAAGGGAATAGAAGATTTGCAGAGTTAAACATTAATTATTAGTATTATTACAGGAAAAGATTTAATTATGTCATTGGTTTATCATCAGTCATAAATGTTGATGAATTTTATCGACAGCTTCAGAGAAACATTTGAGAAATATTAGTGGCATTTATTCGCAAATGTTTGCCAATAGCTTTTTTCCGTAAGAGAATATTCACAAATGTGAATCAAATTTTATTTTATCTGCAATCTACGAAATATCGCTCCCGGATCTACGCAAAATTCACCGAAGTCGCGCAAATTTATCATCCATAAAATGTACACTAGGCATATTGACGTAATATTCAGTTAATAAATCATCTGCTGTAAAAAATACGTCCGTATATGTACACAACGCCGTTATTGAAATTATTCGTGTAGATTTTTTACCGATATATGTGCTTCCTTGTGATTGCACTCAAAATGTTATGGCTACTGGTTTTCGGGAAAATATCGGATTAAAAATTTATTGAGAGAAATTTCTATCAAGAAAAATCAATTACTTCTATTTTACGTTCAGAACTTCTTCGTCATTACTAAAAATAATTAACTAATTCATATTTAGAAAGACAAATTATAATAATTTATTGATAATTTTCATGAAAAAAACGTCGAGAAAAAAAAATATTAAAAAATTAGTATAAAAAAATATAAAAATAAAGTATCTGCATATATGTAACCTAAATAATAATGTTTAAGCGGCAAATCGCAATGTTATCGGTCACTGTTGCGTGCAACCTCAATGATAATGGACTAACATTGTAAAGCAAATAATTGTTCATTGCTCCTTACTACTGACTGGGATTAAATCCCTCTGCATGATGGAAAGTTCCTTTCTCTCTTATCTCGTGTTATCAAATTGAAAATATAGTTCGCAGAAAAAGAGAAATCGCAGAAAAAGAGAAGGAAAAAGGATCTATCTTTTATTTGCTATAATCTATATATATAAATATTGTAAATAAATTAGAAATGATTCACATATTTTTCTATAATTTTCTAACATTAATTGTATATATCATATCGCAAAAGAATGATTAAATTATAATTGGAAAGTATGAGAAGTAATTAATTCTCCAAATGCTTAAGAAGATTTAATTTTTCAAAATCATTATTTCGAAATTAAAGGATACTAGAACTTCAAATCGGAATATCCACGTGAAATCTTTCCGAAGCCGACTCGTGCAAGCTTGACTAGTCACACCGAATGGCAGCGCAACGGGGTTGGTTGCAGCGCATGCCACGGGGACTGAAGTCTGTTTGCTCATGAAATATGCAGGCATGCGCCCTCCATAACTGCTGAAACTTGCGTGCAACGCCGAGGCTACCGAGCTACGGGATTTTCCGTCCTTCCGTGCACGAGGGAGGACCATTTGCGAGGGCAACACGAATACCGGACGCGAGTACCAGGCGCGAATCAATTCTTCGGTATTAGAACATAATGGGCGAGTACGCGCTCGATCGGGTTGGGTAAATAGGAAAAATGTGAGAAAATATGTGCGAGAACGAGGTGTCCCGCATCAGCAATTTTACGTAATTTAAACTGTCATTTTTGTTAACTCTCTTCGAATTACCCGTCGAGTATATCTTCATTCCTCAACACTATCCAATTTTCAGCTCCCATAATAAGAGCGTGTATCTGACATAAAAAAGAACTGCATAAAATGCCGATATATACAGGGTGCGTACGGTATTTGAGGACATCCATATATGTGGCTGTAATTTCTCAAGGTAATTATTTTCATTTTTTTTTTTTCTTTTAAGATCATTGATGGAGGACTATAATCTAACACAAGAAATGAAGAGACATGCTGTTATCGTCGCTATATGTGCGAAACACACAGATTTAGAAATTTCCAATTTTCTCAATTGCGCCCGATCATTCGTACATAAAGTTCGCCGTGAATTGGAAGCATCAGATGGCGAAACACAATCTGTTGCAAAATGCAAAAAGCATGAGGAATGTTCAGACACTATTAGAATTACACAATTTATTCAACAAATACAAGCGATCGTTGACGAAAATCCTTCAAAGTCAATAAGAGCCCTCGCGAGAGACCTTAAAGTCTCTGAGGGCCTAGTTCGTCGAGTCGTTCACGAAGACCTACGCTACAAGTCCTACGTTATGCGCAGAGGACAATTTATGTCGGCACAAACTCGTGAGCAGAGAACTATCCGAGGAAAACGTCTTTTGAACAAGCTTAAGCACCCAGAAGCTCCCAACATGTTATGGTTTTGTTCTGATGAAAAAAATTTCGATCAAGACCAAAAAATCAATCGGAGAAATGATAGATGGCTATGTTCAGAACCTACAGAGGTTCCCCGTGTTATGCACACGAAATTTCCAGCTACTGTTATGGCTTTAGGAGTTGTGAGCAACGAAGGTCATGTTATGCCACCTCACTTCTTTTCCCAGGGGCTTCGGGTTAATGCTGCCGCCTACATCGAGGTTTTAGAAAGTGTTGTGAAACCCTGGATTGATAGTGTATGTGGGAACAGACCATACATATTCCAGCAAGACTCTGCTCCTTCACACAAAGCGATGGCGACACAAGATTGGATGGCCGAGAATTTCCATGACCACATCACCCCCAACTTATGGCCACCTAGCTCCCCAGACCTTAATCCCCTGGATTATTACGTTTGGGGCGTAGTTGAACGTGAGACTAATAAACATCCTCATAACACCATTTCTTCGCTGAAGGATGCTATAACTACCACCATGGCCAACATGAATAAGGAGCATTTGATTCGGGCATGCAGTCGTTTCCGACCCCGGATTGAGGAAGTTATTGCCGCTAATGGAGATTTTATTGAATAATTTTATAGTCAAGTAGTCACTTAAGATTGTATAAAAATTTTATGTAATTATAATAAATCTTGTAAAAAATATAATCAAATTAGTTTTAATCTCAATTTGTCCTCAAATACCGTACGCACCCTGTAAAATGCCACAAATAAAAATCTTAG